ATATATATATATATATATATATATATATATATATATATATATATATATATATATATATATATATATATTTGACAAGCCGCAAAAAATAAAATAAATGCTATGACTGTCTCAACACTGAAAATTATTCTGGACCATTAAATAACAGTACTACGTCCGTAGGTTTATAAAGTAAATTAAATTTTATGAACTGTACCTGAAATTTGTCCTTCCGAATATGAAAAATAACTTCAATCATGTATTGAATTCTTTTGTCTATATCCGAATCACTTAGAATACTTCGTAACCGATCAAAAATTGCTGAAAAATGCATTTCCGAGGGAAATCTATAAAGAAGATATAGGAACTCAAGAAATCCCACATTCAATGCATGCATAATGTTTAACTACAAACGGCAATATGCGGATAAAACTTACCGTTTAAGCCACGAGGCGAAATTTCAGATAGTTTAGCACCACATTCTTTCAAAAATGCTATCGTGACCTCCACTGAATCATCAGTTGGATTTTCAAGCATTAATATCATCATTTCTAATGCAAGGATTTCGTGAATCTGTAACCAAGAAACTCTGTAGGGAAATACAAAAATATATGTAGAGCGTTAGAGATATACAAGTCAGATACAAATTTGCTATGTACAATTCATGACACTACTAAAGCGTAACAAAAGTGGAAGAAGTATTCAGCTACAGACAGAATAAGTGTGCAAGTTAACATAACCGATACTGACTGGCACAACAACCGGTAAATATTTTCGCGTTAGATAAAGTCAGAATGGCTGATGAAAATAAAGCAGAAAGAGAAACGCACTACTTGCTGGTTGATAAGATGAGCAATAAATTTGGATATTGTAACAGTAGAGGTTTTGTCGTTTCGCTTATAACACCGTTTAAATTGTATTAGCAATCGATGAATGATCAACATCCCAATATTTGGAAAATGACTGTTAATAACAGCAACTAATGCTGCATATACATTGGAGAATGTTGGTGAATATGACTGTGCTTGGATTATTGATCGTGCCAACAAACCTCTGGAAATACTTATGCCATACTTTCAAACAAATCAAAACTATTTAATGCAGTGTTCTAAAACAGTTAAAGTTCCCAAAAAGTTTCTCACCTTCCTCGGATGATGTTTTCTCGCAACAAATCTCGTATGACATTAAGCAAATTACCAGTATTCGCTTTGTTCACCTGAAAAAATGTTAGCGATAGAAAGTGATTACATCATAACAAATACCACCATGTGAACTTATGAAAAAGGTGCACCTGCCCATGAATTCGTTTCTTCAGGCGCTCCCAATTCAATCTCTGATACATTTCACTATTCTTATCGCTGATCTGCTCTTGCATCATTTTAAGTTTAGCTGGCGGGATATATGCACCACCTGTGCGAGTATGCAACAAATCCATGTCCTTCTTTGGCTTTTGCATTTTCTCTAGTTCGGATGACATCTCTGATTCCTAAAACGTATTTCAGTCCCCAATCATTCCCCGAAAACTCAAAATTATCACAATGCAACATAAAAAACAAAAACAGAATTATAGCGGAAAATGCCGTATGTAACAAAATTCCCTCTTTACAAAAGCTGATTCCCGAAAAATACAAAAATACAAGTAAGTTCATATAATCATTCACGATGAAGCCATATGTTATAATGCAGCAAAAATAAAATCAAAGAATTGCACTATCGTTGTCTGCTACAATTACCCTCTCTTTAAATTCTCTCATCTGTCACGTAAACAAAGCATCAATAGTGAAAATGTTCAGCAGAAAGAAACAGTAAAGAAAAGAATGCGCCTGTATACCTAACTCAATTTTCCAACTCAGTAATTCAGCAATTCACAGTACTAATTTCAATAATACATTTCTAAGCAAACCCCACTTTTTATTTGTACTATGAATTTTCAAGATGCTTAAATGAATGTCAAGTCCAGATTAATATCATTCAAACTAACATCCTGACATACACAGCTAATAGCTCAGGCTTAAAAATTACTGTATTAATACTGCCTCTTGTTCGACCAAAAGGAAAGAGATAACCTTAGATGCACTGATTGATACCTCTCTCTCTGTCGATATTGTCCTATTTGGTTTCAAGTGAGGCCTACATTGCAAGACTGTAATCTTTTATCCTAACTGCTTGGAGAGTGACATTCTTTGTACTGTCTCGACCTAGAATTCAATTATAGGATGCAATGCGAGACCTACCCTAACAAGACGAGTTAACTCATAGAGCCATAGAGCACTTGTACATACCAGTACTGGAAAGGACGTGCCGTGGAATAGAGATTGGCCAGTGTAGTAGACCCATAAGAAATTAAAGACGTGATGGCTTGAGTTGGATTTCGTCAAGTTGTCGTCCTGCGGTGGTTAGTGACCGGGTGGTTGCCAGGAATTTATTGTCCCTTCGATTGAATATACTTTGTCGAGTGCTGAGATTAGTGCAACATTACTTATGATTTACTCAACTTGGTCGTAACATGATCACATTGGATCACGGTACTTGCCTGGAATAATCCCAAGTCAAGCTAAAGGCTTGGTCAAGGAGTATAAAGTCTTCTCCAGTTTGTTTACTGAGTATTTGCAGTTTTGTGAAGTTGTTGGGCTACAGTTTTGCGAAGTTGTTGGGTTTTACGCGTTGAAATTATCTCAAAATTTCTAAAACCTGTCGATGAAGAAGGATAAAAAGCGAGTAAGTTGTAGAACACGTACTTTTAAGTTTGCTGAACAACTTCTAGATGGTCAAGATCATTCAAATGCTGTAGCTGTCGAATTTATTTTTTTCTTTGAAGCATCGAAAGAAATCATATTCATTTCGAAGGAAAAAAATTGGGACGCAAACTTCAAGCAGTGTCTCCAGTGAGGCCACATGTTACATGGTTCTAAGCCCTAGTGAACAACATAATCGTCATTGCGACACGGTCTATTGCGTCTCTGTTCCATCCAATTCGAGGTTTTGAATCAAATCTTAAGCTTTCTTGGTTTTTGTACTATTCCGTAATGTGCAAATTGTTTTAGGTCGTCATTTGTTAGGAAAAAAGCAACTCGGAGTGATTTCTTATCAGCTCTCGAATTACGTCCTGAAGGTGTGTAGTTTTTTCTTGGTAATTGTTCAAGAGTCTCATTGTGCACGGTGTTCATGGAATAATTATCAAGATTCATTGTTTTTGTACGTTTGCCGATTTATGCATTTTGTCACCATGAGTTTGGGTTTTGAAAAAAAAAGTGTTTCACTAATATCTACTTATCACATACTGTCATGATAGGCAGCATGCCCAAATCTTTTGCATGTTGCATAAAATGTAGACTGCTTGCGTCAGGTTCTCAACTTAACCTGTTGTTTGCAAGCACCCTTCTTTTTTGCTTTTTTTCATTTACAATATTCCATTCCTGATTATCTACTGTCTTTCGATGAGAATGATATAGTTTGAAATGTTTACACTTATTATATACTTAGCTATAGGCTATAACTAATGCATTTGACAAGATAACTACATTTAAAAAATTTAATTTATATAATTGTACCAGTATAATAAGCTGACACGGATTACAAACATGTTTGATTTCAAAGACAGAAATAGCTCCATAAGTTATGTTTTTTAGAGAAGTTGAAGTCGATTGCATTTTACATTGATAATCGAGAAGAGATGGTTCGCCATATGTTTGCATCACTCCAGAGAAAAGAACTTTATGACTTTCTGCCAGAGAATTTAAAGGTTTGTTAACGCTTATATATATATATATATATATATATATATATATATATATATATATATATATATATATATATATATAT